TTAAAAATAAATTTTTAAAATTTTTACAGATAGTTAATGGTGAAATATGATATACAAGAGAATGTATAAAACAAAGTTAATAGTTTGAAGTGTGTATAAATACACACGTACATATATATTAAAGAGAGAAAATTTATTGATATTAAGTGTAAAATTTGAATAATTACACTACTTAATAATTTTTTATAAAACATGAGTAGATAAATTTAATTGTTGAATCATCTTTATAATTATATATATTAAATTTTAAATAATTTAAACATTAATAAACATATTATTTCAGAATTTAATATTTTTTTATAGTTTATAAACATATTATTTGTTAAAATAAAGTAACGTGATAAACATTTATTAAATTTATTTTTATATAAAATTTGATAAAGTTAATTTACTTAATAAAAATGTTTAAATTGATAATTAAATTAGTTAATCTCATATTTTATAAAAAATTATTGTGTGATGTAAATATTTAAAAGGTTATTAATATATCTTGCCTAATAAATATTTCAAAAATACATCATAAGGATATGATAATGGCATTATTGAATAAAGGTACACTAAAACATTTCATTGTAAATGATGTCTTCAAGTTTGGTTTGAAGATACCTTTTGGCATACCAAATGATACCTTTAACCTGCATTGAACTTTGATATACTAAACGTTTGTGCATCACTTGTCACCCTACGGGAAGTAAATGAATAGGTTGGAGTGCTTTGCCATAAAAAGCAATGGCTACATTTGCTTTAGGCATGATGGGAAAATGTTTTAGAAGTTGATAGGTTAGATTCATTACTTATATGAAAATTTAAAGGTTGAGTGGGTCATATATGAGTACACGCTACACACATAGCATAGTGCCCATTATATCTTTTCTCATGGCACAGAGCAGAACCCCAAAAGCACCCAACATTTAAATGGGTGGAATCATAGGCTGCAATGCAATGGAGCAGTGCAAAATGTACAATATATTGGGATTGGGATATGTTGTGTCCGTAGAAGATAGCTATGAGCCCACCACAAAGCACTTTTCCTTGCATTGCTTGGGAATTCCCACCTTCACCTCACCATCACCACTACACCAAGTATCATCGCTCTCAAACATGCCCCAGCTTTGCCCACAGGAGAGGATAAATACACCCCACCTACATTATTTTACGCACTTAAGTTTTTAATCAATCTTCTACATTGCTATTTTCATTTTTATAATTTTAAAATAATTTTATTTATTTATTTACTATTCTTACTTTTTTAAAATATCATTTAGGCTACTTTTTTTAAAATATCAAAACATGGTTGACACTTGACAAAAACAAATATAACGTAGCCCAAATAGCCAACAAGCCTTGCCCATGACCCATGATCTTCATTTTTATTCCTAAAATAATAGACAGCATTTTAATGTGAAGAAAATAAGTGATTATAGTATAAGCACATCCCCATGCCAGAACAAAGCGAGCCCATGCTATGGTATGCTACCTAAGAAAAACAAATTTCCCTGTGTGGTTCCTTTTCTGTGGAAAGTAATGATTTGGTGCATTAAATGTATTGTGGAATCTTGTGAGCGTGCAACCAAAACCATTTAACAAGATCCTCATTAAGTTATAGGACAATCATGGCCCTCACGAACCCTTTTCAAAATCTTCTAGTTAATATCTTTGCCATTTCTTACCATTTCTTTTCCAAATGCTAATTCAAAAATATTAACATATTACAATAATTTTAATATATTTTTAATGTTTCTTTTTTATGAATTTTTTAATTAATATTCTTAAGATAATAATAAATATATTTTATTTGTTTATTTACTTTTGCTGAAGACCCCATTTTGGGATTGCAATGAGTGGTCCCTCACTGTTGGCACCATAGTACATGCTCATGGGTCAAAGGTGTACTTTAGCTCTTGTGAATTGTAATTGCTCATTGTCGCAATAAATAAATAAAAATTTTCTAGTGATTGCTTTCCCTTAATTTTTATTATGTCTTTTTCTTCCACTTTTTCGGGATTTCAAACATTTGATGATAGCAAATTCAAGTCACAAAAATTAGTGACAGTCAAAAGATAAAAGTAAATAAATTAGTTGGTGATTTCAAGATTTCAAGATGAGCATGGGATAATTGCGAAATTCTTCTTTTGGCTTTTTCTATATAAGAAATAAACAATTAAATTATTAACATTAATAAAAAATTATATACAAATTTATAATATTTTAAAAATTAATAATAAATAGTTAAATTAATAACTAATACATTAAATAAATAAATTCATCCATTTATATAATTAATGAATTAGTATTTTATTAATGTAAATATGATAAATAAAAATATAAATTTTTAACAATTAATCCATTTAAAGATAAGTATTTATTTCTTTATTTTATACTAAAAATGATTATAGTTATTTTTATAAATAGAATAAAAAGAAGTAATTAATACAATTGGCAATCTTTTATATATTTCAAACGAAAATTTATAATTTTATATGTCTACAAATTATAGATGAGATGATTCTAATTTTATTTAATTAAAAATTATAAAATAATAAATCATATTAAAAGTTTGTAAATATAAATAAAAAGCATAAATCATTTTAAAATTATATTTTTTTTACTTTTGTTTTTTTATGTAAGTGCTTTCTAAAATAAAGAATGTATATGCCATATCTCCTGTGTTTTAACAATATAAATGACACAGTAAATAAATTACAATGGATATATTGCTATATTTCAAACATTGTGTATATTCAACAATTAGGATGTTTTAAAAAAAGTACGTTTTTTAGTTTGGTATAATTTATTTATTTTATTTTATTTTTTATAAATCAAAATTTTTATTATCATTTGAGTTCACTTTTGTTTAAGCAGAAGTATAAAATATACTGACAGAATCGTTCATTTAGAGGAGAGAATTCTGATCCATTTTAAAGAATATTCTAAATGTTAATTATAATATGTTTCTTTTGAATAGTATTTTTGTTGCTCTGATTTTTAAGGTGGCTTAGGAGTTTGATCAAATATTTTAAAAGGTTTAAAATAAATAATATGTTTGTATGCATTATAATATAATTTAATTGATAGGATTATAATAAATATTATATATACCTAACAAGAAAAAAAATTGCCACAATGAAGTTATGCTGTTGTTCCTAGGGCTAAAAAGCAAGTGTTACAAAAAGAATTTAGACTCACCAATTTAAAATCTTATGGCAAAATTGAGTAGCCTTTCGTAAAAAGATTTATGATTCTTAAGGTACATTATCAAATTCTTACAAATAAATACTCAGTATTGCCTTTATTTCTAGTAAAATCTTAAGACAAGATGACCTTATATTTTCATAGTGTGATGAAGTGATATCAGGTGTTATTTAAGCATAAGCTAACCGAAATAAAATTCATTCCATCAAGATTACTAAAGGAGTTCTTTCTGTATCACATTTATTTACTGAAGTTCCATTGTGTTTATTTTATCCATTCTAAAATTTTTATTGCTTTGTATAAAAGATTGGGTCTGAAATTATAAAATTATATTGTGTATAAATTGATAGATGATACAAAATAAAAGCTACACTCAAAAGTGTGATGCGGGGTTGCTGGGTTCAACATGTAATGATCCAGAACCAGTTTTCCAATATACAACATTCCAAATTACAATCAAGTGAGATTTGATATAAACCCAGTTCATTTCCCACCATGGATATCATTTATGGTGGGACCCAATTAAGCTCCAAGTCCAGGTTATCATCATAGACCATCCCTGTTTTAATACCCACTTCTGGTTTTGTCTCTCTCACACTCTATAATATCTTTTTTTTTTTTTTTATTGTACAATCGATTACATACATGTTAAAAAGATTATAAGTAGTTTTTAAAAAGCAAATGAATAATAAAAATGCAAGTTACTACTCAAATTTCTGGTCCAATGATTAGCACTAGGCAAAGCCACATTGCACCCCCACCCAACAAAGTCATGCATCATGATCAAGATTCCACCAAAGCCCCCCTTTGTGGTCATGAATCTGATGATTGAACCCATCAACAGTGAAATGAATCTGGCCCACTAGTCAACAAGATAATGGGGTGAACCATGATGCACTGAATCATTATCCAAAACTCCAACTCAAAAAAGTAACATAAAAAAAGTTTAACACTAGAAAAGTGGACCCCTCAAATGGCCAAAACCATTGAATCGACCGTTACGAGGCTTACCCAAGCAAAGCGTAGTAGCTAACTGGATGATGGGTAGTGAACACCCAACAAAGTAAAAGGCTATTGGGACATTTTCATAGGGAGGAGGGAAAATTTTACTATGAAAATTGTGAGACTGAGAGAGAGAAAGTAAGAGAAAAAGAATACATAGCAGAAGCCTGCAAGAGAGAGGACTGCAAGTTCGAATTATTCTTCTTCCTTGTATGATTGCTTTTATAATCCTCAGTTCCTCTTTTGGACTCATTACCCCTCCCCTCTTTCTCACTCCTCATTTCTGTTTTCTTTTTACTACATTCATTACAATTTTTATCAATACATTTTATTATACTTTTACCATATTTTCTTAAAAAATTATCTTATTTAAAGACTCTATTAGCAATTAAACTTTCTTTATTTTGGTTTAAATATCTTTGTATTTTTATTATAATTTATTATTAATAATAATTTTAATGTGTGTTTAAAGAGATATAATAAGAACTTATGTAGAATAATTTTTTATTAAAAATTATAAGACATCATAAAATTTAATATTTTACTTTTAATAAAAATATATTATTATATATTAATTTCTTACCATATATATCTTTAAAAACATATTTAAAAATTTATAATAATAACGTAATTTCAACCTATCACATTAATGTTAGTTTAAAGTGATATTAATGCATATTATGTTATGAATAAGCAATAATAAAAATATATTTTTTATAAAAAAATTGCAGAAAATAAAGTACATTTTATCATTTCATTGTTTTGCATATAAGAACATGTTTCCTAGGCTGCTGCTACAAGGTGGGTGAGGCATTATAACTGTGGAAGAGAGAGAGAGAGAGAGAGAGAGAGAGAGAATAAGGAGGAAACAACTAAACAAAAGCAAAGGAGGGGCAACAGAGGCAAGCCCTTTTACACGTGATAAAGAAAACACCAAAAGCTCTCTTGCATGCGTGTATAAGATTCATCACCATCATCATCACCATCACCATCATCATCTTCTTCCTTTTGTCTACCATTTTCCTTAGAAAATTCTGAATCTTCCAAATACCCCTTCTTCTATATTTCTTTCTACTCTTCAGTTCACTCCTTTCACGTGTCTACTTAGTAGTTAGTCATAAGGCCTTATTTGTTAACTAAGAGAAGAAGGGTAAGTTCAAGTTTTGTTTTTTCTTTTTCTTTTTAGTTTACATTCTCACGGTTACTAAGTGAGTAAGTCAGCTTGTTGGTCGGTTGGTGGGTTTTCATTTTCTGTTTTGACTTTGTTTACACTTCAAGGCATTTAATAGAGAGAGCATTTTGCACAATACCCTTGGCATTGCATTTTTTTTTATTTGTGTTTTTTATTTATTATTTTTTTGCTGTCTACAAATATTCTAGACAGTGATTTTGCTACCCTTTTCAATTTTCAATGTTTATTCTCTTAACTTAGGATGTTATGTTCTTGATTTTTGTTTTCTTCTTGTTGTTCCTTATAGGTTTGTTTCAAACCTGGCTTGGCTTCACAGTCAATTTTTATTCATATGTTTATTTATTTATTTATTCCTTCAAGTGTGTTTTCAGTAGCTGTATTAGTGATGTTCTAGTGTGAGATTTTCAGTTTTTGGTAGGAGGGACAAGCCTAAGGAGCTGGTTTTGTCTTCTGGGTATTTTCGTTTTCTGAGTTTCCTATTTACATGTCTAATCACATTTTATTATCAATTTTTCTCTTTCCAACACACAGTGATTTATTATTATTATTATTATTATTATTTTGGCTAAATTTGTCTTTTGCTTATTGTGTTATTTCGTGTGAGTCTCACAAAAAGCTATGTTACCGGGCTCCAAATTTGCATTGGGATGTCCTTTGAAGCAAAAGGGTAGAGTAAAATGTGATCAAAATTTGCTCCTTTTGTTTTGTCTTATTTAGCTCTATGGTTCTACCACCAACACCCTATTTGGTTTGCTTGCTGAAACAAGGGTAGCTAGTTGGATTTTAAGCTTTGCAAAAGAATAGTAATAAGTTTGTATCCTTAAACAATGCCCGTACTTTACTGTTTTCACACCATACCATTACCATGTTTAACTTTATGCATTAATCCACTGAGAACACCTCATAATAATTAAGCCTTACTTTTCAGTTCTCACTTTACAGCAATTACTACTCATTAGCTCACCTACATTTTCCATCTTTGTTACTTTGTTATTGGCTGAAGCAATTGGCACTGTTTTGCAGTTATAAGCAAAAACTAAACGTCAAGAACTGGTCTACCACCTTTGATAAAGTGTGCTTCTTCTTCTGCTTCTGTGTATCCATTGGCCAGCACTGAGCAGAAAAGGCCAACATGCCAGTGAGACAGATGAGAGAGAGCTCAGAACAGCACCTTGTGATCAAACCCCATTTGCAGAATCCCATGAATGCAGCTAAGAAGGTTCCTAGAGCTGTGCAAAATGGCAAAGGTCCACCACCACCACCACAAGAACCACACAACCAAGCTTCACCTCAGGCAAGGAACAAGGGGAGACGAAGGGGGAGAGGTGGCAGAAAGTGTGATCAAGGTGATGTTTTGATGAGACCCAGTTGCAGACCCTGCACTGTTTTGACAAGTACTGTTGAAGATGATAGCAACATGTGTGATGACATAGAGATGGGTTACCCTACTTCAAGCAAGTCTTTGAGCTTTGCTCCTAGGCCTGGATATGGACAAGTTGGGACAAAATGTATTGTGAAGGCTAACCACTTCTTTGCAGAGCTACCAGACAAGGACTTGAACCAGTATGATGTAAGCTCCTTTTGCTTGGTCTTTATCACTGCTGTAGCCATTTGCATAGGAACAATTAAGTTTTGGAGGGGAGGGGGTGAGTCACTCACACAACTACTGTGGCCCTTTATGGAAGTATTTAAGTTCTTCCTGTGATTTCCTCTTTTATGTGCTGTTCAATTGCAGAAGGAATTGAATGGCCGTCTGTTTTTGCTGACCTTTCTCTTGTAGTAACATTTATGACTCCTTAAGTTTGGCCTGTGGTTTTGTTCTTATTGTTTGTTGTATTTGGTGTATTTTTGTAGGTCAGTATTACCCCTGAAGTGTCTTCCAAGGCAGTAAACAGGTCCATCATAGCAGAGCTTGTGAGGCGGTATAAAGAGTCTGACCTTGGGATGAGACTTCCTGCATATGATGGCAGAAAAAGTCTGTACACAGCAGGGGCACTTCCCTTTTCCTGGAGAGAGTTTAAGATAAAGATTGTAGATGATGAGGATGGAGTTAATGGCCCCAAGTAAAATTTATTATTGCCCACATACAGTATAAACAATCAGAATATAGTTTTTATTTTGCTTTGAAACACAAACATGACGGACTCATCTATGTAATATGTTTTTTATTTGTGTTTGAATTAAGTTTAATTTTGAACTTACATTAGCCTCATTTTTCAGAAGGGAAAGAGAATATAGAGTGGTGATAAAGTTTGTTGCTAGGGCAAACTTGCATCACTTGGGCCAGTTTCTAGCCGGTAAGCGTGCTGATGGTCCACAGGAGGCACTCCAAATACTTGACATTGTACTGAGAGAGCTATCTTCTAAGAGGTAGTTTTACCAAATAATAATTGAGTGAAAATGTGAAACTTGAAAGTTCTTGTTTTCTTTTTCCCCTCACAAAAGCTGCATTTTTTCTAAGGTTTTGTCCAATTGGGAGGTCCTTCTTTTCACCTGATCTTAGAGCACCACAACGGCTTGGAGACGGTTTGGAGTCGTGGTGTGGATTTTACCAAAGCATAAGGCCTACTCAGATGGGCCTTTCACTCAATATTGGTATATTACTCACCATAGATATAATTTCGTAATGAAAGTGCAGTGTAACCTTAATTTCTGTTTGCTGCACATTTCATAGATATGGCCTCTGCTGCATTTATTGAACCTCTTCCAGTAGTGGAATATGTTGGCCAGCTATTAGGGAATGATATCCTGTCAAGGCAATTCTCTGATGCTGATCGTGTTAAGGTACTTATATGAACAAAGCTTTCTTAGTTCATTTTTTGTGATGACTTAACACTGTAAAATTTACCGAGCTGCTTTAAGATGTCTAACAGATTAAGAAAGCCCTTAGAGGAGTAAAAGTTGAAGTAACCCATAGAGGGAGTGTTAGAAGAAAGTATCGTGTTTCAGGGTTGACTTCTCAACCAACCAGAGAACTTGTGTAAGTAATATCTTTCTGATCTAGTAATTCTTATTCTACACTTAGTTCAAAGCAATTCTAATGATTTTCCACTAGTTTGTTTAATGATGAGGATGTATCTCTTTAGGTTTCCCGTTGATGAGAACTCAACTATGAAGTCAGTAGTTGAATACTTCCAAGAGATGTATGGTTTCACAATTAAATATACTCATCTTCCTTGCCTTCAAGTAGGAAACCAAAAGAAAGCAAACTACTTACCTATGGAGGTAGGGAAAATTCTTGGCAATTGACATAATTATTCTGCTTGCTCATAATTATATCGATCATGTTACATGCTTCTGGTTCCTCAGGCCTGCAAAATTGTTGAGGGACAACGTTATACAAAAAGGTTGAATGAGAAGCAAATTACTGCTCTCCTTAAAGTTACTTGTCAAAGACCTCGTGATCGAGAAAATGACATTTTGCGGGTACTTAGTGGGTGTTTCATTAACTTCTATTCAAAATGATATTCTAGAAGCTACCTAATCATGTTGGGCCATCATATTAATAATTCAGTTTTGCTAAGCAGACCATTCAGCATAATGCCTATGATCAGGACCCTTATGCAAAGGAATTTGGGATTAAGATCAGTGAAAAGCTAGCTTCAGTAGAAGCACGAATTCTTCCTGCCCCATGGGTAATGTGCTTCTGCACCAAAAGATTAAGATAGTTATAGTATGATCTATTTTTGTTTATATTTTTTTTGCCCCTATTCATTGATATGTAGTACTTGTCTGCAGCTTAAATATCATGAAAGTGGGAAAGTAAAAAATTGTTTACCCCAAGTTGGACAGTGGAATATGGTGAACAAGGTATTGAACATTGATATTACAATTGTGTTTTTTAGCATTGGTGATATGCAACTATTTACCTTGTTTTTGAAAAAATAAAAGAAAATGCGGTTATTTTTAAAATTCATTTCTAACAAGATTATTTTTTGTCAAATCTCTTTCTTTTTTTTGGATATTTTTTCTCAACTCTTTCATCCAATTTAATTTATATTATGAAATTCCATGGTATGTGCTATTCCTGTTTAGCCTGGAGTTTTCATTTGACAGCTTTTAATTCTGGTCTCTCACCTGATACTTGAATGATGCAGAAAATGATTAATGGAATGACTGTTAGCCGGTGGGCATGCATAAATTTTTCACGAAATGTACAAGATAGTGTTGCTCGGACTTTTTGTAATGAGCTTGCTCAAATGTGTCAAGTATCTGGCATGGTAATTTTCAATCTTTTCTATTTCTTTTGTGCTTGATGTGTTGACAGAAATTTTCCTGAGATTCATAATGACATTATTTTTGTTGTAGGAATTTAATCCAGAGCCTGTTATCCCCATCTACAATGCCAAACCTGAGCAGGTGGAGAAAGCTTTAAAGCATGTTTACCATGTGTCAACAAACAAAACCAAAGGAAAGGAATTGGAGCTTTTGTTAGCAATATTGCCAGATAACAATGGCTCCCTTTATGGTAAGCCACCTTCATTGAGAATAAATGTGCACAAATCAATCAATGATAGCTATTCACTTAAGTTGACAGAGCATAGAAGATATGTTCTGAGTTTAAATTCTAATAAATATTCATAATTTGATATAAGAATTGTTTTTTTTTTCAGGTGATCTAAAGCGAATTTGTGAAACTGACCTTGGTTTAATTTCTCAATGTTGTTTGACAAAGCATGTCTTTAAGATCACTAAGCAGTACTTGGCTAACGTGTCTTTGAAAATCAATGTCAAGGTTTGTTTGCTCTCAAATCTCAATTATGTAAAATTTCTTCTGTTAACTGTTAGAAAATTCTCCGTCCTTTAGGGTTTTTTTCTTGGCTATTCTTTGCATGGATACATTTTTGTGCTTAAAAGTGGTGTATACTTGTTATAAGTTAGTGGCTAATGAAGTCTTTGTTAGTATTCTTAAGATTAAAATCCCAACCCTACGCCCATAGTAATGGGTGCAGCTTCTTAGTAGTTGATGAAGATAGTACAAATAATAACAAAATATAGTTGCACTATACTAATAGCTTAAGCTTTTAGTATAGTGCTGAGGATTTTGACCTATAGAATTTTAGTACAGTTGCAAAATCAGAATTACAGACTTCTCTGAAGTGCTTCTTACAACTCATTAATGATCATCTATGCTATTCTTAATGCAGATGGGAGGTAGAAACACTGTTCTTGTTGATGCTGTAAGCTGCAGAATACCATTGGTTAGTGACATACCAACTATAATATTTGGAGCAGATGTTACGCATCCTGAAAACGGAGAAGACTCTAGCCCCTCAATAGCAGCTGTATGTTTATAAATCTATCTGTCTTTATCTTTTTGATATTTCCATGATTATTGAGAGATTTGTAATTGATGTATTGTCCAATATATAGGTAGTAGCATCCCAAGATTGGCCCGAAGTGACGAAATATGCAGGTTTGGTGTGTGCTCAAGCTCATAGACAGGAACTCATACAAGATTTGTACAAAACGTGGCATGACCCTGTTCGTGGCTTAGTTAGTGGTGGCATGATACGGTAATACTAGGAATATGACTTCCACTTTTCTAATTCTTAATGTAGTTCTTGTTTGTTGTATGATGGGATTTTGGCAATACAATTTTCACTTTCCTCCTGTATCTAAATATTTTGTTGTGTCCTTTTCTTGCAGAGATTTGCTGATTTCCTTTAGAAAGGCAACGGGACAGAAGCCTCTAAGGATTATATTTTATAGGTATGTATGTTTAATTATGAATTATTATGCAAGGTCAAAGCATGTTGTAATTAGTATAACAAAAATGTTGTTTGAACTTGCATTGATTTTGACTGCAAGTGGCAAAATGCCTAATAAAAAAAAAATAAAGGATTAGAATAAGATTGATCTTTCTAAGCTTTTTAATAGATTATGGGTGAATATATTACACTGTGTGAGCCACTTAGAATAAATGTCATAGGAAAATCTACTTCACTTCAATATATGAAAGTTGTTTGTTAAGCTTATTGTAAACAGTCTGCTTGCAAGACTAAATCTCAAGCGAGTTATTGTTAAAGCACTATTTCATGTCTAACTGAGGGATGGTGTTATATTGTATCTGTCACACATGGACCTAAAAGCATCTTTATAGGTTTTGTCCTGTATTTTAGAGAGAGATGGAGACATTTCATTCAATTCTATAGCTGCTACCTAGGCCTAGGAGTATGGCTTTTTGAAACATCTTAGTTCATTAACACTGTTGTGTTAATGATAAATTTGAACAGGGATGGTGTAAGTGAAGGGCAGTTTTACCAAGTTCTACTTTATGAGTTGGATGCAATTCGTAAGGTCAGAATTGTTTACTCACTCCACATCATGCATTCTAATCAGTCTTTTTATAGGACATATATGTTCTGACAAGCAATATATATGCAGGCTTGTGCTTCTTTAGAACCAAACTACCAACCTACAGTAACTTTCATAGTTGTACAAAAAAGACATCATACTCGGTTGTTTGCAAATAACCACAGGGACAGGAACAGTACAGATAAGAGTGGAAATATATTGCCTGGTATGTTGAATGTTTCTGAACTGCATATGTACACAAATAAATTTGCAAGACATCTTTTTTGTTTAAAAGTGATTGTCTAATAAGATTGATTTTTTTTTTCATGATTTTTATGTTTTCAGGGACTGTTGTTGATTCCAAAATTTGTCATCCAACAGAATTTGATTTTTATCTATGCAGTCATGCTGGCATTCAGGTAGAAGATAGTTTTTTTTCCTCCCCTCTGTGACGGGCATTTTATGATTATGAAATGAAACATTTTGGCTATACCGGATAATTGAGAAGGGCAAGTGAAGGAAGCACCATATAATGTTATTGATTGGTTTTCCTTATTTATGTGTTGGAAGCTATGGAAAACTTCCATCACTCACCTGGTTATGTTCAGTTGTTCTAAGTTCCATATTTCAAGGATTACTCTGAAAGCTAGATGTAGTTTAGAACCTAGATTCAAAAAATAACTAGGGGGGATTAGGATAGGGGAATCGTAACTTTGTTCCCAATTGTTCCAGTTTCTAGAGACAAGGTCATTGCTTTGTGATGGATAAAAAGATAAAAGATATATTTGAATTATTGAACCTTTAATCACTCTTTGTTGGCCTAAGAAGAGATAAAATGTCAGTATGTTTTAGCATTCCCTCTATCTCTAGTATGGGTGTGATGCTTAGCTTACTGATCTGTCCTGGGATATGGACTTATTTGATTATCTCTTGGTAGGTTTAAAAATGAGGTGAGAGTGAAACACAGTGGAAAGTTCCTAGCTACCCGGGCATATAAAATCTAAACCTCTGATTTGCCTTAATTATCATGCAGGGCACAAGTCGTCCAGCCCATTATCATGTTCTATGGGATGAAAACAACTTCACAGCAGATGGGATTCAGTCTTTGACAAACAATCTCTGTTATACATATGCCAGGTGTACACGCTCCGTATCTGTTGGTAAGTCGATGTGACTGATGTTTGGTTATCTCACTAGTAAAAGAAGCTATAGTGGTTTTACAACATGAGTAAACCTTTGCCTAGATGAAAGAGGCATGAATATTTTTCCCTACAGGAATATCTGCAGTTATTACTAGTAAATTAAAAGAATTCATGAAAAGGAGAATGACTCAGATGCACTTAGCTTCTAGGAACCTCAATCTAGATTAGAGCTATTCATCCTTGGTTTCTTCCTCCATTATTTTGTTATCTAGATTGAGCTTTCAACTTCTTTTGGAAAATGTAAAACTTCAAAAGACTTCATTCTTGTGCAGTTCCTCCAGCATATTATGCACATTTAGCAGCTTTTCGAGCCCGTTTCTACATGGAACCAGACCTGCAGGAGAATGGCTCCTCAGGTGGTGGCAGTCATGGTTCTAAGGCAACACGCGTAGGTGGGGACTGCGGCGTCAAGCCATTGCCAGCCTTGAAAGAAAATGTGAAGAGAGTAATGTTTTATTGTTAGATAATAGAATGGAGCATTGGCATCAAATGGCACATGCAGCAAACACAATCATGGATTGCAACCATCACTTGTACATTAGTGGCTCCCCGACATAGCAGCAATGTTTCCCATGATCATAGTTCTAGAAGCATAGTTTCCAATTGCTAATTATCATAAATATGGTACCAAATTAAATTATTTATTAATCATTGTAAACAAAGTTTGAATCAATCTTCACTGTAGAAAATTTTGCCTGAAGGCCCCTGTAGATGTTGAAGAGTAGAAATTTTCACCACCCATCTACAAAGATGGAAGCTTTTCTCATTAGCTTTGCAAAATATTAATCCATGTTATCATTTCTAGTCAAATTCAATTGAGTAACCAATGTAGTATGAGTATGATGGGAATTTGGTACGACATGGATGAATCGTAAATTTTAAGTTAGTTTTCCTTGTGTTCTTTAAGTATTTAGTAGGGGTGTAGTGTAATATGGGTGTAATGAAGTTTCCATCTGTGCATCAAATTCCAATTATCCATTCTGAAGTATTTTAAATATCAATGAAGTATCCATTTTGGGGATAATCGTAATTGTTCTATCTGTTTTGTATTGCATTTTTGAGATGTCCTTAGTAAAGAAAATGCGAGATGAAAATAGAAGTTTCATTATATTCTCTCATGCTTTTTTAAATAATTCTCTTATATTTGATAAAGTAAGTATTAAATAAAAAAAATATGTGCAATTAATATGAATAATATTTAAATTTTTTTTTTTAAAAAGTAGAAAAGAATTATTTTAAAAGCAAATGTATTTAGAGTAACTTGCAATATTAATTTTTAGTTGATAGTTATTAAGGTAATGGAATTCTACCATGGCTAAAAGTGAAATTAAGTCAAGTTAATAAAATGTAGAATCGCATTGGCACCATTTACTGTTATACTCGGCTTTTATTTTTATTTATTATCACTTTTGTTCACAAAATATGATAAGAGTTGTTCCATTTATGACGTTATTAACACTTGTTTATATTTTTGTTTAGCACAATAATTGTAATTTTTGCATCACTTAATAGCACTTTTAGTTTCAATTAGTTCATATGTAATTTTTAGTTTATCTATTTTTAATTGCTCACATTTAGTTCTATAGTTTTTTAATTATTCAAATTAAGCTTTTTACTGTAAATTTTTATCCAATAATTAATTTAAATATAACAAAAATATCATATATCATTAAATTGTATGGATTTAAAAAGAAACAAGTATATAAAATGATCAAATTAAAATAATTTTATTATATTTTATACATGCTATTTATTATTTTATTTAAGTATTTCATTTTTTATTAATTTATATAAATTAATAATGTGCTATATATTATTAATTATTGGATATAAATTTGATGTCAAAAGCTTAATTTGTTAATTATAAATTTATTATATGGGCAAAAGATTACTACAAGAAGCATAAAAATTAATATTATCTTGAACTTCTACGTACATAAATAAAAACAAATTTTATCTTCTTTGTTTAAAAAAATAAATAGGAATAGAGGTAGTATTATGTAAAACTGATATCATTATATAAAATATATATTTACTTTTTTTAATTTAATATATTTACACGTAAACTACCTTCCTCATTTGTATTTTAATTAAATTAAAAATTGTAATGTAAAATTTTCAATCCCGCAAGCAAATGTTAGTATTATTTCATAAAAAAATATTTTCTTTAACACACATTGTACTATTTTGACTTTCTTTTTGCAAGTTTATTCACAATAAGCGAGGGAAGTACAAATAGTTCACAATTTGATCCATCTTTCAAATTCGTTAAATTGAAAACTACTTGTTTGTAGTTATAGTCCATATATAAATATGTTTGTAGTTATTTTCTTAATTTAATATATTATTTTATTTTTTATAACTTTAAATTCATTAACTACATTATTTTTATTTTGTTTGAAAATTTTAATAACATATTATGTTTTCTTTTAAATATTGAAAATTTTGCAAGGATATATACTCTTTCGACACACGCTTGATTATTAATTAAAATTTCTTAAAAATATATAAAAAAGTTATTAATTTTGGAGTAATAATTATTAAATTAAGAGTAAGACTCATAATTTTTAAAAATTTTAATTAATAATTAAGGGTGTATTAAATTATTAGTCTAATATTATCAACTGAAACGAGAATAACGAAAATTATCTAAGGTAGGGAGTGAAGATGGGAACAGAAAAATAAAAAAACTGACAAAGATAATGAGTAAGAAGGTACTACTCGTACTGCTGCCACACAAATATCATCATTGCTCGGAGGAAATCAATTTTGCAACATGAATTGGCCATGAAATCACGAATGAACTACATTATGCTCCTCAATCCTTAAGATCCAACCAATTACGTATTAACAGAAGAAAAAATGGCATAAAAACTATACAAATTCATGTTTTACTAAAAAGTAATCAAGGAGAAGCAAAAAATGATCAGCATAGTTATGCAAACTTACTGTATTTGAAAATGTGTCGAAATCTATAATCATTTAAACATAAACTTAAATGGAAAAAAAAAAAAAACGAAGGGAAAAGAATCTACTCACTAATTAGCTACATACCCTTTTTGGGGATTATACAAACAAGGAAACAAAATTCCAGCGATTAAAGAATTAAGATATCAACAAACTCTTCTGGCAAAAATAACTGAGTTTCTATATGTAAAACTACCAAGTTTGATACTTTATCATGTGTATGAAAAAAGACTACATGAGAAAAAACAAAAACATAAAACGAGTGCTTCAATGATTTGTGTCTTAACAATATTTGTTTTTGTTTGTCAGGTAAAAAAAACTCTTAATACATTAAAAAACACAAAAAAGAATAAATATAAATAGGGAAGCACAATTAGGATCCAGCAAAGAGGAACTTAGGTTTTTTTGTTAGGGTTCATGCAGCCAACTACTAGGTGAAGTTACCCCATGATCTGCTTTTTCCCTAACAAAGAGGAAAGTAAAGATCATGCTGGCAGCTTCAACTGGTAGTGGTCCATGATAACAGAAGAATAATCACTAGTGTTAATAGTGTTGTAGAAGAAAGGTTTAATTGTTAGGATTTGGATGAGAGGAGAGTAAGAGTAACCACTATTATATATAGTAACTCTGAAAATTGAAGGTACTTTTTTTTTCTTTCTCTTCTAATATTTGTACACGAAAATATTATAGATTGGGAAGCAATTGGGGATATCAGTGAGATGAAAATAAATTTAAAGAGGTAAAAGTGGTCCAAAGTGATGCAAATTGAATAGTGATGCCAACAATACACCATGCATTTTATGGACAGGGTAGTGAGTGTTTTCTATGTATATATATTGCATGAGCATTAAATGCTTTTGCATTGGGTGCTAATTAGGATATGGGGGGACACTTTACATTCTCAACCCCCCTGTGTTGAAGGAAAGAGTGAGCATGAGCCAAAAGAAAAGAAACATACATGGGGGGACCATTTTGCATGGCTTGGCTTCACAGCCATCACATTACTAAACAACATATTTTATATATATAAAGAAGGGGCGGTCAAAAAATCTAATTTCATAAATCCAATCCATAGCCAATGTCAAATTAGTTTAAAAAATTTAGATCTCTATTAAATCAGTTTTTTTATTAACTATATTTGTATAACCAGTTTAGTGTCTAAATCTATTTTCTAAAACTAAATTTATTTTTAGTTATCCAAATCCATATATACAGAAGCAACCTCATATCTTTATTTACTAAATTTTGGCGTTATATTAATTTACAAAATTTTATTGTAACTATATTTTACTACTACTATTTTTTTATTAATCTTAATTCTTATAATTAAAATATTTAAAAATATTAAAATATAACAAATATTTTTAAATTAATTACTACTCTTATTTTTATATTTATGTTTAATTTTTAATTTTTAAAATATTATAACATAAAAATTTTATTATTATTTATATTATTAATTTTTATTTTTATAGGTTTTAATTTAAATTTTTATTATAAACTCCGTTTATTAAAAAGAAATTAAAAATAATAATAAATATTTTATATACTTCTATAAAATATAATATATTAATAAAAATTGTTAAAATCTTTTTGAAATGAACTATTTTAGTGTAACATTTGTACAATAAATTAGTTTTACCTTAAAAATATAATTCACAAATATATTGAAAATCAATTTTGTGTTAAAAATTAAATTTAAAATTAGATTTAAAACTAATTCAACGTAAAATTAAAACTAGTTTCAACAAAAACTAAATTTAAAATCAATTTTAAACTAAATTTAAATTTCAAAACTATTTTTGAATCGATTAAAAAAATAAAATAAAATAGTTTAAAATTTAACTTATATAATTAATTTGTGTGATGGATAAATGATATAAAGTAAATATATCTAAATATTTATTATTTTAATAAAATATAAAATTAAAAAATACTATTAAGAAATTAAAATATATGCAAATATTCTCTTAATATGTATTGTTAATGTAATGAGTTACAGTACTATTTGTATTCATATTTTATCTTTGATAAATGTTGATGCTTAATAAATATATATATAATGTTATATTATTTATTTAAATATTTTAATATAATAATTTAATAATAATTATGGTATATTTTTATCATGTGTAAAAATGGTTTAAAACCGGTTTTAAACTAAATCCAAATTTTAAAACCAAATTTAAACCGGTTTTAGAAAAATTAAAATGGATTGGTTTATAATCCAATCTATATAATTAGATTTTAAATGGATTTAAATTATTTTTTTAAAAATCCAATTAATGAACACTCCATAAAGAATCACTACAGAATACGTATTGGCCAATAATGCTTCTACTTCAAATTAATCAAATACTAAATCCATCACTAAAACCTGGATATTTTCTTACGCTGATCTAAATACATGCCCAACAAAAATGTTTATTAACTCAAAAATTTGTAAAATAAATTAGACAAACTATACAGCATTTATTTTTGATAAATTTTGTATTG